CCAATCCATAGATTTGGTTGGATTTGCCATGTTTAATTCAGTCACCATTCCAATTTGCATTTCAGAAACCATGGCAATCAACTCATGCTCAATCAGATTTGCCTTGTTGCTTGTTTCTACATTAATGCCAGAACCGAAATTCCTTGCATTCTTCCTGAACTTGCAATCTTTAATAAAGTGACCTTTCTTACCACAATGAAAACAAGGCTGATTTTTCTTGAGAGAGACTTTCTTGAAAGGACTGAATTTCTGTTGTTGAGGCTTGAGTTTATTTTGGAAAGGCTTGGCAGAATTTTGACTTACATGATTAACTTTCATTGGAGCCAATATTGCATCCCTTGAACGGTTTTCTGCCTCGATCTGGAGATGTGTTTGAAACTGTTCCATAGTCAGAATTTCATCTGAATGTAAGACCTTTTTCCGGTAATCATTCCAAGATGGAGGAAGTTTTGAAAGTATTGCCCCCACTTGAAGTGATTCTGGAATCTTTATCTCCAACTCTGACATCCTTGATACCAGAATTTGCAACTCGTGCACTTGATCCATGATGGAAATATCATCCTTCATTAAAAACTCAAAATATTTAAGTGCAAGAAATTTGTCCGTACCTTTCTTTTCATGCTTGTATTTCCTTTCCAAAGCAATCCAGATTTGTTGAGGGGAAGATATATTGCGATACAGATCATAAAGCCTATCGGTGAGAGAATTCAGAATATGTCCACGACATATGAGTTCATCTTCTTCATGCTTCAGTCTTGCGTTCTTCACTCCTTCAGAATCATTCTCTTTTGGCACTGGGATAGGTTGCAGATTAGGATCAAGAACATACGACACCTTCAGTGTTGTCAGTAAGAAAGTCATCTTATCCTTCCATCGCATGTAGTTGGTGCCATCGAACCTATCCAATCTGACTGCGTCTAGATTCAACAACTTGATATTGGCGTTTAAAGGAAGAGCCATAAGGATAAGTTTTTTGAATCCTTAAGATTGTTAAAGATAAGGATTATCAAAATAAAAAACAGATAGTTCTGAGGCGTGATCTCACTTTACTTAAGGATTCAAAAATCCTCCAAGATACAACAGAACTCAAACTCTCTCAAAAAACTAGATGTAGAACTTTGACTTTGCATAGGAATTTATATTGATCGAAAAGCCACTACTTGCAAGGATGTATCCCTTCAGAAAGATACCATTTCATAGAGGTACCTTTAGACTTCCAAAAGTTATCCAATATTCAGACATGCCTTTTCAGATTAATAAATTAGATTAAAAATCTGAAAATAAAAAAAATAAATATTTTGGAAGTCAAGCCCCAAGTGCCCAAGTGCCCATCTTTGACTATATATAAAGGGCAAGGCCCGATTTATCTTGGGCTTCACTTTATTTATCTATTTGTTGATAACAAATAAACCTTTATAAATTCCTTTAACTTCCCATATTTTCTTGATGTGGGACCTTAACATTTGCAAACTACTCAACATTCCCCCACTAGTTTGGAAATGTTAATTTAGTTCTACTCGACAAGAAATATGCTTAAAGAAGGTGTCTCTCGATTTAAACCTTCTATTAGTGTACATACGTCGTATCTAATGAAGTTATTGGTGTCCAAGGATTAAACCATAACTTCTTATATTAGACATGAATGTATAACACACATAAGACTTGTCTATCTAGTCCAAGAGGTTTAAAACCTTGTAGCACTATTATGGCCATGTGCTCATCCTGCTAATAATGGTCATTTACAAGAGAATCCAACATCTTCTTGTGGAAGCAGCACCACTTCTATGACCATGTAGGTGGAGTTCTTTATGTCTCTGTTGCTAGAGACATTTAATAATTATCAACTCCATTAAGAGTATACACTCATCCTCCAAAACGCAATAGACAGCACTTGACTAAAGTAGGAATGGATATCAAGTGCTAAACAGGCATATATAGTAACTTGTTCTTACCCATTAAACTTTGAATTTAGAAATGACTAAATAAAAGTTGGGTTCCCATTACCAATGCCTAATTTAAATATTTAAGCCCCATTCCTCTTGACATCCTTTCCACCACATCTCGTGGCAATGCTTTGGTGAGAGGATCAGCTAGATTGTCTGCAGACTTTACATATATGATCGTTATAACCCCACTAGTGATCAACTCTCTAATATAAGTATGTCTAAGACTAATATGTCTAGATTTTCCATTATAAATATTGCTATATGCTCTAGACATTGTAGCCTCACTATCACAGTGCAAGGAAATGGCTGGCATAGGTTGTGGCCACAACTTTATATCAAGTAATAAATTTCTCAACCATTCTGCTTCCTTGCCTGCTACTGCCAAAGCAATAAACTCAAATTCCATGCATGTTTGTTTCTTTGATGCCCAACTTATTGCACCTCCTCCAAGTGTAAAAATCCATCCTGAAGTAGATTTGTTATCACTCTTACTAGTTATCCAACTTGCATCAGTGTATCCCTCTAGAACCACTGGATAATCTGAGTAAACTAAACCAAGCTCTTTTTTCTTTTTAAGATAACCAAGAACTCTTCTAATGGCTTTCCAATGTTCATGGCTTGGTTTACTTGTGTATCTTGATAATTTGCATACCGCAAATGCTATGTCCGGCCTAGTACAATGCATGGCATACATTAAACTCCCAATTGCACTAGCATATTCTAATTGAGCAACAACATGATCTGAGTTTAGAGTCAACTTCGTACTAGGATCATATGGAGTAGGAGCTTCCTTTATATTAAGATGTTGGAATTTGTTCAACATCTTTTCTATATAATGAGATTGACTAAGCGCAAAGCCACGATCATGTCTCTTTACTTTAATTCCCAAAATAGTATCTACTTCATTCAAGTCTTTCATTTGAAAGATTGAAGTTAGATACTCTTTGATCTAATTTATTCCCAACATGTTGGTACCAAATATCAACATGTCATCAACATAGAGACATACTATAACTCCATAATCCTTAGTAAACTTTGAATAGATACACTTATCTGCATCATTATGCTTGAATCCATTTGCTAGAAT